CTGATGTACTTCGTTCAGTTACGTATTTGCTAAAGAGGCGGACAACTCTTTTGGCGCCTTTAATCTTCCTTCAAATCCTCACCAAACAACCAGGTATCCAAAGGGGATTCCGTTAGAGTGGTTTTCAATTTTTTTTATTTAAATCGAACGACACTAGTTCCCTCCTCGATATTGACTCGGAATGGATAACACCAGTTATAAGACGTTCTGTCCAACCGTTTTAAGTCTCTATATATTAACTGATTCATACTTTCTCCCCCCCTCTATTTATTTCTAACATCTCAAACACTGCTTCTAATCTCGTCCTCAGAATCTTGTGAATAATCACTACTATTCGCCTGCCTCTCAAAACTTGTTACACTTTCCTCTTCTAAACTTGTCACTAATCTTTTCTTTTACGCATGTTTTATTTTCCTAATAACTTTAATCAGCAGCATCCATCCGTTTAAGATAATCTAAAAACACTCTGCTCTTCGGAGCGAGAGCCGATCGATATCTTTTACGCGATATTCGATGTAGGTCGTACCGCACACAAAAAGACTAAATATAAGAAATGATGCAAGGGCATGTAATGAGGTAAGGGAGCAGGGAAGCGAAGGGCATGTTGAAATTTGTTTGTTTAGGCTTTAAAATGTATGGTCGCCGCACGGAGAAAAAGGAACTACATTGTACTTATTTATGGAGACGAGACCTATAATTCGGTTTTCAATCATTTCAAATGATTAGAATATAACCAAGAATAGTATAGCTTATGCATTAGATTTATTTTATTTTAAATAAATTTACTTAGAAAAAATTATAAAATCAAAATATTGAGAAGGAAATAATTAATTTGCTAGGTACTAATACCAAACCAAACCAAACGGTTTTCCGAAAGTTTCAAAAAGCTTTGGTTTTTCAATTTTATTTTATTTTTATAGTAAAATTCAAAATTAATTAATGATTTTTTTTTTTTTTAAAAAAACTTAAAATGGAATATGAAAAAAATTATATAATCATGATTCTTAAACGAAAAGCCGATTTTTGGCGGAGGAAAGAAAAGAGTAAAATCTTCATTTTTTAACCTTTGTGAAATATGCCACTCACAAAAATCGTCAGAATATGTCTTTTATATACTCCGTTACACTCAGGAATTTATTAGAATTTTTTTTTTTTTTTTTTTTTAATATAGAAAAAAAAAAATTAAAAACTTTTTTTTTTCTTTTTCTAAAATCTTCTGTTTTCAATTAACTTATATTTGTTTAGTTTAAAAAGTGAGTAGAAAATATTTTTCATTAAAAATACATTTTTTTTTTTTTTTATTATTTTATGATTATTATAAAAATAAATAAAAAAAAAAAATTTTTAGAAAAAAATTTTAGAAAAAAAATGAATTTTTAATTTTTTCACTTATTGTTCCACCACTTCAAAAATTCTAAATTTTTTTTTTTATTTTATAATTTTTTGAGTTAATTATTTTGACGATTTTAATTAATGACATATTTCACAAGATTAAAAAAATGAAGATTTTAATTTTCTTTCCTCCGCTAAAAGTCGGCTTTTCGTTTAAGACTCATGATCCTTGTTTTCAAATGTCATGGGCTCTTAAGAATTAGAAAAAATCATCGATGAAGAAATTAATTTTGAGTTTTAGTATAAAATAAAATTGAAAAAAACAGTTTTTTTGAAAATCTCGAAACCGTTCGAGTTAAAGAGCTAAAATTTAGGTGAATTATTTTGATTCACGACACCCGATCGATCCCTGGTCCACGATTCAAAAAAGCCGCGGGGGGCAGATTTCCTATATTAATCCGGCTATACTAGTGCAGTTCTTTTGAGAGTGTCTGAAATAATAGGTTTTTCTTTGTGACATAAACAGTAGTATCTTTTTTTTAACTTTAGTACTGTAGATTTGAGTATAAAGTTTTAATTTCAACTCGATACCTCCACGTATTCCAGAGATAAAGAGGTTTTGACGGACGAACGGACAGACAACAAAGTGATCTGAGTTCCGTTTTCCACTTTGAGGTCAAGCAACCACTAAAATAACAAAATACTCACAGCTCCGCCGTAGTTTTGGGTATAAAGAAGAGAATACCCTCCGTCACTAGATTCCATGCGCAAACACTTGCTAGTGAAAATTTCAACTTGTAATCTTCCTGCCAGGCCGCATCTTCACACCAGGGCTCCCTTATCTTCGTGTAGTATTGCAGGAATATTATGGAGGAGAATCCAAAGATCATGAGGTAGTAGAACGTTCTGACAATTTGTGATGGGCCTCGTGATGAAAAATCATCGTCTCCGTTATCTAAAAACGAAGATTTTTCAATATTCTTGAGTGATTAAGAGTCCATTTCACTAGTCCAAGAAGCAAATATATTAATAATATATTATAAATATAATATTATATCAATGATAATAGGTATTGATAATTTCGATTCCAATTATCTCGAGAACCATTACTCGTAACGATTTTTACCAAAAAAGATCGTTTTTACGTAAGCTTGTAAATAAATGTTATTTTTAACTCAATGGTTTATATGGGTACGGACGAAAAGTTATTATTCTTCAGACCAGTTAAAAAATACATGAGTGGCGCTCTATACAAGTAGGAATCATATAGATAATAAATAATCAAAATCTCCCGTAATAAAAAAACTCCCAGACATAATTTTCATCCAAATATTGCTTTAAATTATTTGGAAAAATCGAAATAAAATGAAACTTCTCCACCCTGTATCTCTGAAACTAAGCATTTTAGAACATACATTTATACGAACGTTTTTACTTATTTTTATCACAGGAATATGCTGACAAAGTTTCCGGAATACAGTTCGGACCACCCTGTATATCAATTATGTTTTTTTGCGAAAAAAAAAATAGAAATTTTTTTTTTTTAATTTTTTGATTTTGGTTAAAAACATAATTTTTTGATAATGCAACAACATAGGTAGTAGATTAAAAAAATACAAAGCTAAAATAGTCTATGTCTACGTGTGGATTTCAAAATGAAAAAAATAAAAGTAAAACTTCTCCACCCTGTATCTCCAAAACCAAACATTTTAGAACATACATTTATTTGAGCGTTTTTACTTATTTTTTATCTGAAATATGCTGACGAAGTTTCCAGAACAGTTCGGACCACCCTGTATATCAATTATGTTTTTTGCGAAAAAAAAAAAAAAAAAAAATGAAAAGTACTGATTTTTTTTATTTTTTTGGGTTAAAAACATAATTTCTTGATAATACGGCAACATAGGTAGTAGATTAAAAATACAATAAAAGAAAACCCAGAAAGATTCAGTGGTACTCAAAATTTAAAGCATTTTTTTTTTATTTTTTTGGGAAATATTCAAAGGAAAATAACATTATAATAAAAAAAAAAAAAAAAAAAAAAAAAAAAAAAAAGGAAAAATATTTTTTTATCGAGATCTACCAGCTCTGAAAATATTTGTACTTATTTAAAACCTGTTTTTTTTTTTTAATAAATAAAATAACCCAATAAATAATATATATACTATACAGGGTTGTTCACATACGACACGGAATATTGTAGCTAAACATTTTATTTTACAAATTTCAAGTTTTTGGGTTCGATGAAGGACTATTAGAGGTACAATTTAAAAATAATTTGCAGATACAAGAGTGTCCCAAATAAATAAAAAATAAAAGTTGTTTTTAAATAGGAGCGCCCTATTCATTTTGATTTCTACGATTAAAATAAAGGTAAATTTGATTAAGGTTTATTACGCTTAAAACATACCGTTTTTAAGAAATATTTTCAATTTTATTGAAATTGCAGTAAATTTTAAGGCTTCATTCCTCCGAAATTCAAAGTTTTTTAATACTAAATATTTGAAGTTTATTTATTGTGATAAGTTATTGTGTTGCAATAATAAAAATATTACTACCTTATACAGAGTGTCTAAAAATTTTATTTTAAATAATTTATAGCTTTTTAAACGTAACTTGTTTAATTTAAATGGAACGCCCTGTATATTTTAGGAGAATCAGATGCACAATTTAATTGTCTATCAAGCTGTATAATACCATTTTTTACCTATCCTTCAAGTTTTTCAGAAAATGCATTTTCTTATAATTTGGACTTCATTTAATGGACCATACTACATCCCATGGAATATTGACATTTATTATTGACACCTATGGAATATTGACATCATATATTCACATTCTAAATAATATCGTTTTGCTAAAAGCAATAATGTTGTATGCAAAAGAAAACTATTTAAATCTTTATAAAAAGAGTATGCCATTAATTAAATATAACCATTATTTCCGCCGTATACTAATTAATTGCGGCAAGTAATATTCGTTAATAAATTATTCTAAATAAATATGGATTTGAGTCAGAAATCAATATAATAAATAGTTATCAAAATTAAAGTCTGTTGTTATAAATAAGCATTTAGTAAAATGAAATATCATTTTAGGTGTACTTTTTATCACACTGTCAATGCCCATACAAAATTCAGTTTTTAATTATTTTTGAACAATTATTATTAATCAAAAGCATAGTCAGTTAATGTAGTTTGAATACGGGAATCATATTAATTGGTCCTCTTTAACAAATATTTAAACAGTTTTTTATTTCTTAATAAAATAAACGAATTATATCGACAATATTAGTATTATCTGCACTCTTTAAAAATTTGGTACATCTTTAAAAATAATCTACATGTCAATAGTCCATGGGTATATTGATAAATAAGTTCCTAAATTACAAAGAAAATGCATTTTCTGAAATAAAAGAGCTAGGTAAAAATGGTATAATATGTATGAACAATAAATTGTGCATCTGATATACAAGGTGTTTTTTTTTTTTTTTTTTTTTTTAACTTAGCTGTTTGAAGCAATAATTATTTAAAATAGATTTTTTTTTTTTTTTTTTTTTTTAATTTATTATTATTACAACAATCAATAAACGTATTGAGCGATAAAAGCACTGGTACAAAATGAAGCCTGTGGCTGTTTCCAAAAAACGGCAGATTTAAGTAATAAACCTTAATCAGAACACATTTTAATCGTAGAAGCAAAATAATATTACAGTTGAGCGTTCCGACCCAAAAATACAAGAATTTTAAAGTTTCTGTATCTTAACAATTTTTTAAATTGTATTTTTTTTTTTTTTTTTACAATTTGTAAAAATCTCATCGTTTAGCTACAATACTCCGTGTCGTATGTGGTGAACAACCCTGTATATTTACTTGTACAATATGGCTTCTCTTCCTCGCATAAGCAGTTTCCAGGTATACATTTTTCAGTTGGATTGATAATCTTCTTTGTCAGCCTCCTAATTAAGAATGTGTCCTCTGGAATTTCCAAAAAACAAAGAAATAATTAAAAAATGCAAATTTCTTTTCACATATATGAAATATTGTTGATAAAATGTTATTCAGTTAAAATATATGAGTTAATTTTTATTTTTTTAGAAAATTTGTAGGTATTTAAGTAATCTACGGGAACACGGTTTGATAATCAAGTCATTGAAATTTATTGATAGAGAAATTCATGTAAACGTTTTATTCAAAAAATGTGTTTTTTAAAATTATTTTTCATTTAAAAAAAAACAAAAGCCCTAGGCCCCCCCCTGGGCTCAACCCCAGGCCCCTCCAGGCCCCCCCAGGATAAATTGCTAGTTACGCTAATGGATGAGGGGTCCAGGGGAATAGCACCAATTTCTTAATTTTAGGATTTTACAATATAATGCTGTAGGTCCAGTAAAAATACAATATAATGCTGTAGGTCTCTAGTAAAAATATAGAATACCCGGAAAGAACTTGATAACCACCAGCCGTACGATGCTCTCCTGTAAAATTAGTAAAATGGCGTTTATCATGTTTTTCCCCTGGACCCTTCATTATAGTAAATATGCTATAAAATATTGCTTACCTAGGGCGTCACATTTTGCCTCTTGTGTTTCTTGTGCATGTGCACCTGCACAAGAAATTGTAAAAACATATAGTAAAATAAAACACAAACAGGACGATCTAATATACATCTTGATCATGTATGATGTATACAGACTTCACAAACAATGAATTTATTCCAAACCAAGTGAAATGGTTAAGTTGTTGCATTAAAATATGTTTAGTTTTTATGGGGAGTTTAAGAATGTATTTTTTATTTGTTTTTTTTTTCATTTTTTAAACGTATATAGATATTTATTAGTTGTAGATCTGCGAGTAGTATTAATATTTCAATAGCAAAAAAAATATTTTGTTAATAAATATTTTGGATACCTATTTTAATAAAATTAAAATTTTTACGTTAATTAGCCTATAGATTGGTGAGGAAATAGTACAATTAATGTACATTTTTTAATATCATAATTTTTCTAAACATTAGTATTTTACTTTTTTTATTACATTATTTTTTATCCAAATATCTATTAATATTTTAATATTAAAAAAAAAATTATAGACATATTTTTTAAATTTGGTAAATTATTGATAAAATGGTGAAGGGAAAAATATATTTTTTTTTTGCATGAATAAGACCAAAGGGCAAGACAAATTTTATATTCTGTTGTTTTATTGACGTTATATTTTTTTATGTCTTATTTTTTGTGTAATAATAACTTTTATAAATATATTAAATAAAAATATATAAAGTAAAATTAATTTATTTTTTCCATAGCAACTGTTAAAATTGCCTTATATCCATCAAAAACAGTAGATAAAATAGTACTTTAACCGCAGGGGTAGATTGATAAGTTAAAAACTTTATTTCTTCTCGCACGTTTTTTAATTGCTTCCATTTTTGAAAATGTTTCTATTCCTTTTCATAAGTTATTCGGGATTTAAATGGAAGTAGTTTGGATATGGCGTTTGTCGCTTCAGCCTGAATATCTGTTAGTAATTTACTTATTTCGTTATGAGCCACTTCTGCCTCTAATTCAATCAGCAATCGACACGAAAGAGAATTAAAAAATATTGACTCAAAACTGACAACTAAAGAGACAGCTTTACTTATTTGTCAAATTACATAAAAAACAACTCCAACCCAGCGCAACATTTTTTCTATTCGTAATAAATTCCTTGAAATAATCATTTCTGAATATTTCGCTATGGAAAAAAATATTGTTTTATACACGACGATAAAATTGCATTATCGTATCCCGAAATTAATTAACTCGCGATTTCATCGCTCGTGAATTAATCTGTTCGGTCGACGATAAAATACCATTTTATGGTCTTGTATAAAAAATAACTATTAATAAATTATTTTTCTTAAGTTTTTCGAACAAAAAAAAATCTGTTTTACGTATTTTTACAATCTTTCTGCATCATTACATTTTGAAAATTAGCTTTAAAAGCATAATCTGTCAAAATTATCATAGTAAAGACCCATCTACACATGACGTTTTACTCGGCAGGTAAGACGATTGAAAAACTAGCGTATAATACACTAGAAGTTTTACCTATAATTTTATCAATTATAGCATTGTGTTTAGTAAAGTTCAAAAAACAAACATAACTTCAAATAATGTAATTTTAATTTTTAATATCTTGATATTTCTTGATGAAATGGCGAAGGCACCGATGTATAACAAAAACTGCAGAAATTAAATATAGGATATTGGCGATATTATCTCACTTTTGAATATTACAAAAGTCTAACTTAAGAGTAATTCATTGATTATATTACTCGAACAGTACTTTTTTTTAAATCTTTAGATCTATATACAGAAAAATTTGACAATATTAAAAAAATTGTTTAATTAATAAATTCATTATTGTTACTGTTTGTCACGGTTTTAGAATTATTAAAAAAAGTTAAAAAGCTTTTAAAAATACGCAGAAAATATTCACTTTCACATTTTAAAAGAAAAAAATAATAAATATTCAATGTTCCTGTCTGTCTAACTACCATACGATTTAAAAAAAAAACGGCGTCAAAGAAGGCTAGCGAATGACAATCAATGATAATTTTGGCGAAGTCAACCCTTAGACTCTGTAATTAGTGTTAATTTTTTGACAAGTTTTGTGTTAATTTTTAGTAAATGAGTAGGTCTAGAGATTGACTTCGCCAAAATAATCATCGTTTCTTTTTGGGTTTAATTTAAATAAAAGGCAAATGTAAAATCACAAACTATTGTATTTAAACCAATAAAAAGAATGAGTAATATAATTTTAACAACATATGTATACATAAAATTTTACTGTACACGTATAAAAATCCATTTAAAAATCTACAAGGGACATAAAATTTTATACAAATATAAATAAAAATATACTAAGTCTTAAATTTTCAGCATCCCTGTATCTATTGCATAAACTTTCGTATTTAAAAAAATAAGCGGTAATAATTTTACCAATAATACATAAATAACAGATCAAAAACAGACATAAAACAAGAACAAAAAAAAAATAAAAAAATTATACAGGTTGAGAACTTTTGCTTAATTTTATCTTCAGAATGCGTTGTAAAAATTTCATGATTACAATTCCGACCAGCCTGTATAATACTAATAAAAAAGTATATCTTAAAATTTAATCATTCCTCTCGGGCCTCCACATGTAATTATTGTTGTCGAAGAAGTAGTTTCCTATGATCATGATCCAGAACATATAGAAAATTGCCAGGGCTAGTGCTATCCATGCAACGACCACAGTCTCGGAGAAAATGAACCAACAGACAACAACAATACAGAGCAATGTGAGTTCGACAATGTTGGAGGTTCTGAAACCATCACCTGTAAATAAGATAAAATATCAATACAAAAAATATCATATTCGAGGCAGTAATGAAAAATATCTTCCAAGGTTTGTATAATTTTTTTTTTAATTTTGATTTAAAGTAGCACGTTTCATACTCCTCTGACCTGGATTTCGCAACTATACTGTGTGACAAAAAAGGAGAACAACTTATATATTCATAAGATTTTAATAATGTTTGGTGTACACTGTACATTATGGCAGCTCCTGACAGCCAGCAAAAAAATATCAAATATTGATCAACATATTATATAGGTGTTCTCCTTTTTTGTCACTCAGTATACAGGGTGTCCCAGAAATAAGTGCTAGTATTTTAACTGGTAGTATATTTCGGCCTCAGAAACACGCCTTGCGCAAAAAGAATAAAGAATTTGAAAATTTGAATTTTTTTTTAGTTTTAAGTTAAAAAACATAATTTCTTTATAATATGGCAACATAGATAGTAGATTAAATTTACACGAAAGAAAATCCAGAAAAGATCCAATGGTTCTCAAAATTTAAGCAAAAAAGCATTTTTTGTTTAAATTTTCAAAGTAAAATAGCTCGGTTATTTTGGACTAATTTGGAAAATGGTAAAGAGAAAAAATGTTTCTTTTGACCAGACCTACTACCCCTTAAAATACTTGCACTTATTTCTGATTTCTGGGACACCCTGTATAATAGCAACCTTTTTTAAACTCACTGGAACAGAATCCGTAATGTTCGACGTATTCAGATTGGCATTTACATTCGCCTAAAATGCACTCTAACCTTGATGGTCCTGGTTCTATCCCATGACAGTCTGTGTGGTTAATACATATCTCCCCTAACACTGAAAAAAAATAGTAATTTAGAAATATTAGTATTAATGTGAAAGGAACACAGTTGCGGTGACAGTTTTTTAGAAATAAATTCATAGTAAAAAATCAAAATACTATTTATTTTACATAAAAACATCGTTATTTCAAATGCAATACTGTGTATTTTTTAAAATAAGTCGAAGCAGATTTAAATGCTCTTTCAAACTATATTAGGATTTCCTATATCTATCTAGCTCAGCTTTTGAATGAAGATCAATTTTTCAATAAAATGGCAACCAAGAGGCTGGTGTGGTCATGGCAAGTTTCTAGTGACAATTAGTAGCAATTTTCAAAGTCGAAATTAGTTTATGGACTTTATTTTTAAGATGCCCGGTGGGGTAGAGGTACAGCTCTCGTCTACCAATTCAAAGGTTGTGGGTTCGAATCCTACAGCCGGCATTTCATCAGCCGACTATTTTTAATAAAATAAAAATAGTTTGGGATTCACAATCCTGAGGTAATAATAGGCGGTTGAAGCGTAGTGCTAGCCACATTACCTTTCCTTGTATACCAACGACTCTAGTATGGCAAGCTGTACCTTGCTACTCCCAAGGCGTTAAACGCTATACAGGAGCAAGGTATTATTGACTTTATTTTAATCTTTGAATAAAGAAGACTAAGGAAGGGCATAATGCTATCCATGTATTCATGCATGGTGGGCGGAAAAAAGCGCCATAAAAAGCACTCTAGGGTGGGGATCGCTTGCAGGCCCAGTTCTGTTTGACGATTCATTTTGACATTTGAATTTGATTTGAAATTTTGTGGATTTGTCAGTCTTTACGGAGCTTATTTTTATGTTATTTATTATTTATTCTACTACGATAGTTGTATAAAAAAGGTAGTAAATCTAGATGGGAATTGTGGCAGCACTTAAATTAACGATGACATATCGATTTATCAGAAAAAGACTCAAAATAGTTGGTTGTGTAACGTGCGGTAGATCTCGACTTAAGAAAATTAGGTAAAATAATGGAACAACTTTTCGCTAGTAAGTGACTATATAATATACATGCATTGTAGTAAACCGATCATTTCATGAAATTCACTTAAATTAACTAAATTATATATTTTCTTGCATTTAGCTTTTATTTATTACTTGTCAAGATTAGATGTCAAAAGATTTAGATACGTTAATTTGACTTACCTGCTTCAGTAGCGTATTGGATGTTTGTGGTAATAAATACTTATTATAACTTATCTATTTTTATATATTATATATTTTATAACAATTTTAACTACCAACATTTATTCACAACGTAAAAATAAAACAACAAATTATTGAGTCTACGTCTACCCTACATCATAGTTTTACATTTTTTAAATAAAATTAGAACGACACTGATAAACCGGAATTTAAGTCGGCCATATTTGAGGCCCATCGCGGTGTACCTAAGATTTTTGATATACTCCTTCCTTAGTCTTCTTATTCAAAGATTTTAATTTACACCAGTTTACTTTTATTTAATTTACCTGCAATAGTGTAATAAATAATAATCGCTTTTTATGCAAAATCTGAGCTAGATAGGTATAGGAAATCCTAATATAGTTTGAAGGAGCATTTGAATCTCTTTCGATTTATTTAAAAAAATAGAGGGTTTTACATTTAAAATAAGGAAGTTTTTATGTAAAATTAATATTTAAAATAGATCATCAATTTTTGATACCCCCGTATAAATTTACAAGGTGTATATTAATATACAAGGTGTCTTATTAAAAAAAACATTGAAATTACAGCTTCCATAAAAAACAGTATCTTCACTGGATTTTACACGAAAAACTCTACAGAACTCAGTTTTATACTCTATAAAATGAATAACTTTGAATTTTGACCGTTATTTTTTACCAACATGGCAAATATAAAAGCCCTCTATCCAAAAAGTTACTGATATTCTTTAAATTCTAAATAAATAAAAATAATTCTAAAAATCAGACAAATGCCGTCTCTAATAGAACAGCCGCGGAGCGATATTTATGACGTCACGCTAGTTAGATACCCAGGATTAATAAATATGTTGTAGAATACACGGAAAACATAACTATTCCTCGTATTTTTGGTTTGTATTTTAAAAATGATATAGTTTACATGAAAAATACATAATATACCGTTAATAAATACAATATATATATATACCTATTTATAGTAATAAATACTTTGACAAATAAACTATGAACCATACAAATGCATCAAATGTTTTACAATATACAAATAATGAATAATATAATATAATATATAATAATAAAATATATTTTAAATTTTGGGGTTTGAAAATCGATCTAATTTAACAAAAAAACATTCAATATCTACTAATAGTGATGTATTATTATTTGCATTCACAAAATTTATATGTATATTTTGCAAGCATCAATGTTCGAAAAATGATATTTGAAAATAATACAATATCATAGAAAAAAGGCGTCAGCGATGGCTATGAAATAAAGATCGCTGTCATTTTATATGTAAAATTATTCTAAAATTTTTGATTTTCTTGGGATTTAGGTTCGGGAAAAACGCTGATTAAGTTTTCATTTGGTTTTTCATTATTTTTTTTTGGTTTAAAAAAAACGTTATAGCTAACGTTTATAGCCTTCATCAGTGTTGTGTCATATGAAAAAAATAGTGTCGAATATAATCCAAAAAATTACATATACGAGGAATAATTATGTTTTCCATGTATTCTACAACATAATTAATCCGTAGTATCTAACTAGCGTGACGTCATAAATCTCGGTCCGGGGCTGTTCTATTAGAGACGGCATTGCATCAGCATGGCCGCAAGTTGCTAACCTAATAAAATTAACACTAGAAAAGCCCGCAGGACCTGTCAAATTCAAAGTTATTCGTTTCACAGACTATACCTTTTGGATAAGTTATAAGATAATAAGCAAGATACAAAGGGGGCAAAAATACAACATTTTCAAATACCTTTATTCTGTTAAGTTTTTTTTTATTTTAGTAGCACAAAAAAAACTATTCGTGTCAAGCATGGAATAATTTGTAGACATATAAAATGACGTTGCTTCTCAAACCAAAAACGCATAAATCATCACAACCGTCATGTTCTTCTAATCTACCTACAGAAACTACCATTTATCTTGCTACATTTCGTCATTATGGTTTACACAGGGATCCACTCGAAAAAACGTTTAAAATCAAGTGTTAACTTTCTTTTTTAATTAAAACCAAATCCTACCAGACACATTAAAAAGTTGTAAAATGTTCTATTTTTAAAAAGGCTGCTTAATCCAGATAGTAAAAAATCGGTTTTAGGTCTTTTTTTCCGTTGTGCAACTAAACTTTAAATCCACTAGTCAGATTTTTGAGAATTATCTTAAAAGAACTTTAAGTTAAAGAATTTTAAAAAAAATCCAATTTTAGAACAGCAGTTTAGAAAAACAAGTGTACCTATATCTGGAATAATCGCTGTCCAGTCATAAGTTATTTTCTTAAAAATGTGTGTGTGTTTGTAAATACTATGAGGTCGAAAAATTTTATATTAATTTTTCACATATTGATTTAAATAGTGTAATAATAATATAATTATGTTATAAATACTGTTCAAGAAAGACTAAAAAATAAACCAACGAAAATCAATGACAGCTGAATAATTTATCTGCAAACTCATACTATTAATTTTCAGTTGACATTTGCAGTCATATATCATAATTTCAATCAAAAATTTCTTGCCATTATAAATTACATAGTTGTCGATTCCAAATCTGATCTTATTAATTTTATAGGATAATATTAGCTTTAGTTTTGCCACATAATTCCGAATGAATTTCAAAATTTCTTTTATTTTATTTGAAAAAATGATGATAAAATAGTTTCTGTTGAATTTTTGGCACAAAAACATTTCAAATATATGATTTCAGTCTAACAACTATTTTGTAACATATGTTTAATTTATATCAATGAGAATGAATAGGTATTGATAATTTCGATTCCAAATATCTGAAGACCTATTACTCGTAACGATTTTTACCAAGAGACCTTTTTTACGTAAAAAATCACGGAAATATAGATTTTTTTACTCAGTAGTTTTATACAGGTACGGACGAAAAGTTATTACTGTTCAAAACAGTTAAAACACATGTAGGTGGTGCCCCCTACAAGTAGGAGTCATATTGACATCAAAATCAAATTTCTCATGTCAAAAAACTTCCATACACCAATTTTCATCGAAATATTAACG